CGCCGGGCGGGCGGGTCCATTTTGCCGCACAAGCCGGGCAATTGGCAAACTGCGGATGGGCAGGTCCACTTTCCTTCGGGGGTGAGCGGCCTGAGGTATGGGAGGGCGACGCCATTTCGCGACGGGGGCGGGCGGGTTGTGGATTGTTCCGTGGCGGGGGGAGACGCCGCCGGGTGGTCGAGGGAGCGAGCACATGGCGGCCCGAGGGGCTCCCCTCCCCCAGCCCGCTTGGCTTCTGAGTGTTGTGCAATCTCCCCCTTCGCTAGCTCGGCTGGGGCTCATTGTGCGCGAGGCCGCCACCGCCCGCGGCCTCCCACATCCGGGCACCGCGAGGGGGGGAGACGGGCTGGAGGGGGTGGGGGAGGGCGCGGGCGGAGTGACGTGGGGGGGAAGGGGATGTCCTCCCCTCGCAGCTGGGAGGTGAGGGGCGGGACTTCCGGCGCGCCGGGGCCGCGGGGGGGGTGGGGGAGGCGCACGCGCTCGGGCTCGGAGCGGTCCGGGCCCCGGGAGCGCGCTGGCGCTCCTTGCAGCCTGTCGGGGGCAGGGGTCTGGCTCGGTGGTGGAGGAAGGGCTGTGTCCTGGGGAGCTGGCGGGTCGGCTCGGGAGTGGGGCCGATGGCATCGTGCAGGGCCGCCAGCTGCTGGGGGGCGTTCTGACGCGTCTCAGTTGGCATGCTTTTACTTTGACCCAACAGATCCAGAGACAATGGCCCCGATGGGATGGAGCCCGAAGGCGTCATCGAGGTGAGCTTGGAGCCCTACGCTGTCTGTCCCTCTTTTCTGGGAAAGGCAGTGTCCCCTGATTCCGGGACTGTGGTTGCCTACCTCCCGAGTAGATCTGTTCTCTTGTCCTAATTCCTTTATGGTGATTTGTTAAAAGTATCTTATGTGCTGGAGTTGAGTCCTGTCTTTCTACATTGTCTGGTGTCTGGTTTTACAAGTGGACTCGCCCTTTAAGGTGATTTCCCAGACCTTGTAGGGCCAGCTGGCTTCCCTGGAGGGAGGAGAGGTGGGGGGCTCTGAAGCTCTGGTGCAGGTACAGGGTCCCGTGGTTCAGTGTTAGGACACAGCTTTGTGTCTCCTACCATTGGAATTTCTCTGTATCCTGTAGAGTAACTGGAATGAGATCGTTGATAGCTTTGATGACATGAATCTCTCTGAATCCCTTCTCCGTGGCATCTACGCCTATGGTTTTGAGAAGCCTTCTGCCATCCAGCAGCGAGCCATTCTCCCTTGTATCAAGGGTAAGATCCCTCGGCCCCAGGACAAGTTCTGGACTGTCCCTGACCTGGGTAGAGTGGCACCTGCTTGGTGGTGCTCATCTCATATCAGTCAGGGACAAAGCAACTCCTTGTTTATCCCAGCTTGGCTTTGGGTCCGTGCCTGCGCCTGGTTCATGCCCTGGACACACGGATCGCTGGTTTAGTTTCAGTAAGGTAGTTTAGCCAGCTCGTAACTGCTGTTCGTACCTGTGTTTCTAGGCCAATTTTCTGTAGTACTAAACGAGTTAATAATCTGACCTGCATCCCGATTGTTCGGTGTCGGTGTTCCATTTTGACGGGGTAAAGTCTGTGAAGCCCTTAATGCTTGCCACATAGCTCTGTTGGGTGCTGATTGATTGATCAGAGCCATGAATGTCTCCTGATCCTGAAACGTATGCACTCTGGTATCAAATTTCTGCTCATCTGTTTAGGTTATGATGTGATCGCTCAAGCCCAATCTGGGACTGGGAAAACAGCCACTTTTGCCATATCGATTCTGCAACAGATTGAATTGGATCTAAAGGCTACGCAGGCCTTGGTCCTGGCACCTACTAGGGAGTTGGCTCAGCAGATACAGAAGGTAGTCATGGCGTTAGGAGATTACATGGGTGCCTCCTGTCACGCCTGCATCGGGGGGACCAACGTACGTGCCGAGGTGCAGAAGCTTCAGATGGAGGCTCCCCATATCATCGTGGGCACCCCAGGTCGTGTGTTTGACATGCTGAATCGGAGATACCTGTGTGAGTCTCCCCTCCCGCGCACGCGTCCCCCCCCCCCCCCCCGATCCATGGTCTCCTCCACGGTGCCCGTGTGCGCCTGGGAGGGGGTTGCTCTGTGATGAGCCCATGCGTGTCATCTGAGCCTGGCTTCCCTGTCTTCTCAGCCCCGGGGAGTGTTCTACTTCCCAGGGCTGTCAGCTGGCCTAGCGTGGGAGTCGCAGGCAAAGGATCACCCTTCGTCTTCTGAGAGCAGATCTCTTGTCCCTTTTTTGTTCTATATTGGGAAACGTGAGTTTTCTCTCACACTTCCCTATCACTACCTATTGGTGTTTTCTCTCTTTCGTAGCTCCCAAGTACATCAAGATGTTTGTACTGGATGAAGCTGATGAAATGTTAAGCCGCGGATTCAAGGACCAGATCTATGACATATTCCAGAAGCTC